ATGCTGATCGGACTTCCTACGCTTTTCCAATCAAGTTTGTTTTTTACTCTCTACCTCCATGCCTTGATAAGTAATTTGATCATGGTTCACTGAGTTGCAGGTTAAGACTAATGCGGTAGCCAGCTGATTTTCATCGTGTTAATTATTGGGTAGGCAGTTGTTCCGTAGGTTATTTTGGGTGCCCTCCTCATGATCCATTACTGAAATGTCTGAGACTTCTGAAACTCATCTAGCTCAACGGACTGTGGAAATCGTAACACTTATTGAAGATTTTTAACCACGTACTAACGATAATATCATTATCAAATTGCGGGTAATCCCTCAGCTTCATACTACAGCATTTGGCATCTCCATCATTTTCAGGCTTGACCTAAAACGCCTCAATGCATCAGCCACCATATTGACTGTGAAAAACAGCCGTCTAGATCGACTTAGTTAAAATGTTCCACTGGTCTAATTACGAATGCTATGAGCGTCCAGTGCAGGCACCTAAAGAGATACGAGAGTCGTCAAAACTTGTTACGAAACCCTCTAAGAGTGGACAAAACTGACTTTATGAAGGAATACAATGATTTGGATTGATCTCCTTTATCATTCAATGTTGGCTTTATTCTTATATGTTCTAAAAACATTCCCATACATTAATATTCTCACATGGAGCATGCGACAACGTACGATCGACACGATATCCATTGTTTCTCACAGAAAAACTAACTGTATATAAAAATCAGTGACAAGGAAGTGACATTCTAAGAAGAAAAAACGTAATTGGAGGTGAGACACTTCGTTCAAACATATTCTTGGTTATGAATGCACAGGAATCTGCACCATCAGTTTTCCTTTGAATGTGTAAAATTATGAATAAAACTTTAGATTACTGGCCTTTCGCAATGAGAATTTGAAAAAGAGCATGAGTTATGACAGCCCATTTTCAGGAACGTAGTTACATATATCTTGCCAGTATGGCTTACGAATAAGTAATCTGGTTGAAACTATTAAATACTTAATTAAAGAGAGCTAGTAGCATTGTTATTCAGCTGCCTTTTAATGCTCTGGTAATATGGAAGATGAATGAGATAATTTCCTTGTATCGTACTTGAGTTTCCAGCAAATTAATATGAAAAATAAAAAAATAGAAAACAACAAACAATCACTGAAATGGTGGATGCATATTAAATTAACAAGAGTAATTAGTAGAGAAGTTCTGAAAATCACGAGGCTTGTCTCCCTAGAAAATGGACGCTTGATCTGGAGAATGGGTAGTCATTTTGGTGGTCAGGTCGTCGTAAATTACGTCGTGCCAGCGTGAGTATATTCTGGCCTCCTGAGGTTAGTCGAGCGGTAATTTCGCTGGAACAAGTGTGGAAGAGACAAATGCTGATTGTCACTATCGCCTACGCCCTATCAAATGGTGGCGATTGTTTGCAGTAGGCTGTTAACGCTTTGAGGCATCGCGACGTCACAACTGCTACAGGTGACCTCAACGGATAGGTTGGCGCTGAGTACAACAGTTAGCCATACGTACTCGGCTATCACAATATTGACAGTAAGAGTGACAGCGGCAATCCTCTGTTCAGTTTTGCGCCATAAATTACGTAATAGTTGGCGGGACCCATTTTCCTCATAAACGCATTCACCGAACACCTGGGCATCCCTGAATGAAGGCTAAGCACTGAGCTGGACCACGTTCTCTTCAAGTTACCGGAGGCTCGCGTTAGGCGTGGCACCTGCACTGGTTCTGATCCCTACGTGGCCGTAGCGGAACTTTGTACAAAATTAACCATGTCGCACCGAAGCTATATGGTTGAAACATATCCGTTGCTGGACTTAGCCTGGCTAAATAGGACGAAGCGGTTGCGTTAGCATACCAAAAAGAGGTAGACTTAATTTCAAGACACCCTTAGTGTCCAGGTCGGATGTGGCAATGTCGATGAAGTGTACAGCGACTTCAGAAAAAACGCTATTTCCTCTGTTAAAACGTAGTTGAAGTCAAGGAAAAATAGCCATCTGCCCTGAGTTGCGGAGAAGACCCTTGCCTTTAGCATGCAAAGGAATTAGACGAAAAAGGAGTGCTCGCAACACCCTACGGCGCCTTCGAAGACAACCCATCATCCTCTGATTTTTGCCGTCAACCAGAGTTACAGGCTGGACAGGGAACTTTGGCTGGGGGAGAAAATCAGGAAGATCGACAATCAGCCAGGAAAGGTGAGAGCTGAACAAGGTTCAAAAG